TGACCGAGGTCTCGAGTTGACTAATTTACTATTTATGAACTGAAACACTTATGTATTTAAAATTAAGAATTGTCATTCATACAACAAATGATTTTCTAAAAATCATCAGTATTGCAATTAGTTAAATGTATGAATGGATATTTCTTTCTTTAAAATTAATCAACAAAATATAATATTTACTTAGGTAACTCATGACAAGTTTAAAAATACAATTTCATTGCATTGTTATTGTTGTGTTGTATCTGACCGACGAGATATTTGATGCCCTCTTCACCTCCTGTCACCATGGCTACAGGCAGTGATGTGTCCACTACAGCATTTTTGTTGTCAGGATGTGTTGCGTTCCTGATGGGTGGCTAGGTAGCTCACTGTTCGCGGCTTATAATTTATATAAGATGAAAATGCAAATATTTTATTCGTTTAAAGCAGATGGAGAGTGCTAGCTTTGAAATCTCAACATTACGACTTGAGACTCTAGACTCCGGGAAACGGCCTCCATTCGTGTGATATAGTAACATTGTGGCATTCACCAGAGCAAAAATATATTAACACTTGGACGAAGATAATTAAGGGAGGGACCTTTCTGGGAGTTAATATAGATTAGGAAGTGGCAGGGGGGGAGGTTATCAAGCTGCACGCATCTCTTGTTCAAATTTCTCACGCAAGACGTTTTTTACGGTAACATCACATGCATGAATTTGTTATTCTCTTTATGGTAAAACTATCTATCTACCCTAAGGTGGAAGAATGACTTTCTAAATTTCCTCGAGGTGTATGATATTTTGCCCAATTTGTCCTCGAACGATTCGTTTCTCTTTTTTGTATTTCCCTCACCCCACTCTCGTCACTTTTAATTTACTGATGGCACTTCAGTAAGACGAAATCGTCTAGCTTGTAGATCACAAAAGATAACACATTTGGAGAGTAAGAAATATCCCTTACAATGAAAATGGCCCATTCTGGCGTTTTAGGGTCAACTCACATTGACATTACAAAAAGATTTTGAAGCTTACCTTCTTTGAAATCAATAACACCAATGCGCATCCAATCGCAAGTGCATGACACTTCATCAAAGAGACTGGAGGAGAGATCCTGATTGGCCATTTTAAACCTAATGACTTATATGGACTTGGTGGCCAAGCCTTCCCGCCTCCAATCTAGAAACGGCAAGTAGACGGTTGTACATGTGTGAACATGGTGTGAATAACCACATTTTTAACCCGGAGATTGTGTAAGCAATCTAGGGGTTTAGATAAAGTAGATAAAGCTCATAAAATCACTGTCTTAGTCGATATTGCAGGCACATGTATCGTTTTACATTTCTAGGTCAAGGTATTACGTGAGTGCAATTGTTCCACTAAGAATAAAATCTTGTTTTGTTTGCTTTCTGGGTATAGTTCATTTGACATTTCTATTACAGTTCTTATCTTAAATTAATAGTTAACTGCAAATAAGAACATTTCGAAAACCAAAGCGAACAGTTTAGTTGACGCCACCGTAGCATTTGCTGAAAGAGCCTCGAAGAACACCGCGGTCTGGCGAGCCTCTAAAGCTCTTGATAACGTAAGATTATAAGTTTCAACCGCGGGCATGAAATTCAACGCGAGAAAATCCTGCTTTTGAGGACAGACTCTTCATGTTAAGCAAATAGCAGTGAAGAAACATAAATCGCATTGGGCGAAGAATCCCCGCCACAGAGCGGGAGCGAGGAGAACTTGCTAGAGCTTCACGAACTGAAATTCAATCCGAGCATTAAAATTTTTCCTGTTCAAAAACAACAACTCAGCGACACTTGTATGATGAGCTATCATGTCGCCAGATCCCACAACAGCTCTCGCGAAAACCTTATGTCTATTTGCAGAAGTTTGCAGTTTGCGAGAACATATGTTGCATATTTGTTACCTGGTATTCACATGCTAGCCAATTTTAGATATGGCTGAGGTGCTTTGAAAATTTTCCGCTTGGACGGCAAGGTTTCTTACGTGTTACAATGCATGGTTAACACTTGCGTTCCAATCCACAATCCAGTAAACCCGAGTTCGAGTCCAGGATCCGTCGGCTTTTTTTTTCCGTTTTTCTTAAGCCACTGCTCTTTTTCTTTCCTTGTTTAACACTTTTTTTTGCCAGAAACCAATAAAGTGACTTGTATAACTAGACTTACCCGTAAATCACACATGCTCGCAATGCGGACCTATTTTTTATGAAAAGAGTAATTCATTTTACGTAAAGGTCAGCTCATGTCAATCGTCATTTAAATGAGAAATCTACGGGTTTGCTCATAGATGCCTTTGATCTGGTTATATGAAATAAATAAACTGAGTCAGATTAATACACGACTGCAGATGTAATTTGTCGCTTATATGACGGACTGACAAGACTAGACAAGCTGTATAGACTTTGGCGAAGTTTTCAAGATCTGCACGTCATGCGTGTCTGTACTCGTATTACTGCGCCTTTCAATAACATGCGGACTCTAAAATTCGAAGCTCAACCGACAAATGCGTCGAATACTGCCGAGCACTGTTTTCGTTGTCTGAACTGTGCTCAATGATTTGACTACCGCGCGCTCGGCAGTAGTCGGAAGCTGGGAGGAGCCGCCGAACATTTGATTAACGGCAGCGAAAAACGCATTTGTCGATTGAGCTTTGAATTTTAGAGTCCGCATGTTATTGAAAGGAGCAGTAATGATAAATATTTGTCAAAGAGCGTCTGCGAAATTTGACAGTTGCTGTCAAGTAAACTTTTACGGCAAATGGCAAGAAAATGATCATATCACTCTTCAAAGGGAAATATATCCATGTGTTTATTTACAATAACCACTTTCGGACGATATTAATTGGGCCCAACAATATCCTGCCGCTAAGGGCCGAAGGGATTTGTACCAGGGACTTAACCCAGATTACTTGTAATGTTGCCGGATGTAATGTACTCTGTGATTGATTTATATTGCATTCGCTCGGACGGACCGATACCACGAACGATACACTCTGATAACCCTGGTCTGGTGTCCAAGTGCTATTCTACTACTTGCGGTGATCGAACTATAATTTTGCCTTGCATGAATTTGCTTAGTTAAACGTTTCGAGAGCGCAAAAGATAGAGGGGAGAGAGGGAAGGGAGGGAGGAATTGTCATATCCGGGCATTTTAAATTCCTTGATTTTCAAAAGTCGTACATGTACTACATGTATGCATTAACAAGTTTTCAGAAAGGTACAACGTTTGTGCTGTATATTCGTTATTTAAAGGCAAATGTGGAATGCGTTTCGCTCTTGCTATTACCTTCACAATGCGTATATCCCGAAGAGCTTTAAAACCCCGTTGAACGCTTCAGGGCTTAACATCTCGAGCGTGACGTCTTTGAATGGAACCGTGACAGCGCACATATAAACACTCTTCATGTATTCCGTGTTCTGAAGTGTAGCTGACCTGACTTTCGAGCGAACTTTGCTTGGTAAACTGTCCATGGCTTCGTTCGAGGACAGGGTTCTTTCAATTGGTAAGTAACGTTGTTGCTTTCGTCTGGTTGGCAAAGGCACTCAAGCTATGCTATAAGAAATTCAATGCCAAAGAA